ATCTCCTCGATGTCGTCTCTGATGATGGAAGCTCGCATGCTTGCGGCGGATACCACGTGGCAGCTGATCGAAGGATGAGGAAGGGGCACCGTGCATGGAACTAATACTCCGTTCCGATCACGAATGTGAACGGTGCGTTTGAAGAAGTTCACCGCGTGATCCTCGCTTCGCAGCCATGACATGCCCAAGATCATGTCAAATTTGGTGTCCAAAATATCAAAGGACACCGCCTCACTTGCGTGAGGGGCAAAGTACACGGGGACGGCGTCAATGCACCGGTCGATTGACTTGTGTGTATGACCGTCTGCCAACGTGACTTGCATAGGCTGGGACTTCCTCCGGACACGTGGGCCAAGGCCGGCGCGTACCATGAAGTCCTAGCTGATGTAGTTGCGAGATGCTCCGCAATCGATCAAGGCACTGCAGGTCGCCTCTCCGATCTGAATGCGTACGGATAGCAATGGTGCGTTGATGTCGTCGTATCGTTGCGTCTTGAACTCGCGGTCGATCTTCGCGATGTAAGCGTGAAGGTCGACAACCTTTGTTCCGGCGTCCATCAACGGAGCTGGTACTGCAGTGTGCAAGTAATCCCGCAATTGTGCCATGAGCACGTTGCAATGCGGTTTCGGCAATTGTCCGGTCGAGGGAACGGGCATCCACTGGAAGTCCGTGAACGTCAATGGGTCGAGCTCTTCAAGTCTTGACCATGTCGTCGAATCCCTGGCGATAGATTGCGGCGAAGCTGCCGAATCGGTTGCCGATGGTGATGAAACCGTGCATGCAGTGGATTGTTGCACGTGGAGCGGTTGGTCCAGCGGTGGAACCAAGTGGACAGCATAGTCCTCGTAAGTGTAACGAGAAGTTGCGACATTCGCGTTCTCCCCAGATGTGCAGGAGGCCGCTAGCAAGGCGGCCGAATCTTGCGGAGTAGAAGGTGGAGTCGCCTCACCTTCCGCGGAGCTCAGTTTCCCGAGTTGAGGCGGGGTCGCACATCCTCCTTGCCCTGATCCTGGCACAAGGAGGTCTTGGGCTTGGTGCTGTTGCACCAATAGCAGCTGCCGTAGCGGCCGCGGACCTTGTACTCCGCCTCGGTCAAGCCGAACTTGACCCATGGAAGTGGTCCATTTCCAGCCTGCGATGCTGGTTTCGCCTTCCCATTGTTGCGGGACTTGTTGTTGCTTCGCGGCTGGACAGCAGCCACCTGATCTCCGTCACCTGATGCTGGAGTGGCTGCTGGGTTATTTCCACTGTGCTGCTGGACTGCAGCGAAGTGCTGCTGTCGCGGACCAGTTCGTACCTTCTCCACATAGGTCGGCTGCCATGTTGATTTCTCGTGTGCAGCTGACCTGTTGGTCTTGATGATCTCTCTCGCCTTGTCGATAATCTCGGTGAAAGTGGAGTATTGCTCGCGATCACCAAGGGCCTGGCTCAATGCAGCACATGACCTATTGTAGAACTCACGTCTGAGATGAGTGAAAGGCAGATCCAGATTGGGCACTGCCGCAATCTTCTGCCACTCTGTGAGCCAATCCCGTGTTGCAGTGTTGCCCTGTGACATGGTGAACAAACGGTTGATGGCGAGTGTCGGCGCGTCGTCGACGATGAACCGCTTCTTCCATAGCCGTGTCAGTTCCTCCCATGTGATTTTTTCCTTCAAGTCTGGTACGTCGACGCCGTGGGAGGTTGCCAGGTGGCTCAACCAGGTTTGGCATGCGCCCTTTGAGTTCAGCAACAGGGCGCTGATGTACGCATGCTTGGCTACGGGCGGAATCCTGAGTTGCGTTGTGAATGCTTCCCACCAGAGGACCGGATCCTGCTGCGTGTAGTCGTCGAACCTCTCTAGGTTGAAAGTTGGTATCTTGTACATCTTCGGATTGTCGTCCTCGTTCGTCGACTGCAGCTGCTGGACCTCGGTCTTCAATGTATGCAGTTGACTGCTGATGGTGGTGGTCGGCGCAGCGAAAGTGCTGATGTCGCCGAGCATTGCCACTACATGGTCAACGCAGTCCTCCAGTTGGCGGCTAGAGGGTGCATTGCTGGAAGCCCCAGCAGCTGGTCCTTGTACGGCCTGTTCCAGGTCCAGCAATCGGGCATTGAGTGCCCGAGTTGCATCCTCGTGGCTCTGCACTATGCGGCGGAGCTTTGCCAACTCCTGATGCTGTTGCGTCAGGTCTTGGTACTGTCTCTCCAACTCTGACCGTTGGTAGTTGCAAGCGTACAACAACCTTGTCACGAGTTTGGAGAGGAACTCCTTGTGCTTCTCTTCCGGTGTTGCCTCGTCGCCGTTCGGTTCAAAGT